AACTGCGAGCGTTACTTCCCAGGCAGGGAACAAAATGGTGAAATGGTATTAAAATGCTTAAAAATATACATAATTATAATGATGTAAAACGGTCACAAAAAATGCCTGAAAATGCTTTTCATGTAAGCATTAAAATGATTACTTCTGATTAAGTGAAAATGGTTAAAAAAATAAAAAAATGATGTGAACAACACAAATCATTTTTCGCATTATTTCTGACCTATTTTGTTGATAGAAAAATTACCGATAAATTTATTTCAATTTTAATTATTTTACTATAATTTAAGTCGCGCTTCTTTCTTCTTCGAAGATGATCTTTTCAATGTTTCATAAAAATTGTATAAATTAATCACGAAAACAAAATAAAATGGAAGAAAAATAAAACAGGCTATGTATTTCTATTAGTCTAATTTCATACCCAGTGAAAAATATTCACTGATTTCAATCGGATTTTTCTGCAACAAAATCAAAATTAAAATCGATTGATAATTTTGATTATTATTGATCATGACTTAACCATTACTTGATATTCTTTCTTATTCAGTGTGGAATTTTCTGATTGAAATCCATTATTTTGTAGCGAAATCGAGATTATAAATCGATTAATAATTTCAATTTTAGTGCAAAATAATGGATTTTAATCAGAAAATTCCACACTGAATAAGAAAGAATATCAAGTAATAGTTAAGTCATGATCAATAATAATCAAAATTATCAATCGATTTTAATTTTGATTTTGTTGCAACAAAATCCGATTGAAATCAGTGAATATTTTTCACTGGGTAGTCGTACGGAAAAGAATCGCGCCTACCTGGTCGGTATTATAACCGTTTTGGTTTCTGTACCACTATGAAATTAGACTAAAAGAAATATACAGCCTGTTCTATTTTTCTTCCATTTTATTTTGTTTTCGTGATTAAATTATTTGTACAATTTTTATCAAACATTGAAAAGATTATCTTCGAAGAAGAAAGAAGCGTCACTTAAATTGTAATAAAATAATTAAAATTGAAATAAATTTGTCGAACAGTATTTAACTACCTCAAATTTATTATTTCTGACCTTTTCGGCTAATTATTTATATCACTCTTTCTCTGTAAGAATCTGTAATATTCACACAAAAGAATCACTTTAATCCTTTTTTAACGAATAAACCGTACCGTAATTTTGTGTTTACTTTGACACTCTTGGTATACTATAGCGATTGTGTGGAAGATAAATAGACCAAAAATTCTAGGGACGTGATTCAAAATCAGAAAAAAGTATTATAAGCTGATCAAAAACAATAACACAGCTATTTTTCTCACTTTAAATGGAATACTGAGAATTAGATCATATATTTAAGTCATATATAGTACGTGTCCATAATTAATGTATACTAACATGCACAGGCCGCGGAAGCGGGGGGGGGGGGGGGGGGGTGGGGAGGAGTGTACCCCCCCCCAATAATTGAAAATTTTCAATTTTTTCCAGCGACAAGAGTAGATTTTTTGTACGTGTTGGGCTTATTTTGTGAAATTTTATTGTAAATAGCCCCTTTACACCCCCCAAAATTCGTTACACCCCCCCAATCTTAGGACCTTCGCGCGGCCTCTGCTAACATGTTAGTCATAGAAATTTCCGTCTCAATGTTATTTCTACTTAAATAAAAAAAAGATTGAGTGTCGTTTATCTTATTCAGTAAAACACAGAAGATTATGAATGACAGTCGATTGTCCTAGCGCATTTTACGAATAATCTAGAATATCTGAATAAACATCTTGCGCAGAGGAAATATTTAAAAAAGTCTCAAATATTATAAATGGGAAGGTTAACTTCTTAATTAGTACTATTTAAACTCGTCAAAGATGTTCCTGATTATGTCGGATATGAACACAACGATATGTGACAACTGACGCCTCAATCTTTAAAAGGAATGGGACTCCTTCTCGTTCCTTCCTTTTATAGTTATAGCATTGTTCTTTGTTCTGAGACAAAGACTATATTTGACCAATAAAAATTAGTCAATCATATATAGTTCAGGGGTCGCAGAGGCATATATCCAAAAATCAGGAAAGCAGACAGGAAAATTTTTAATAAAAATCAGGAATTTATAAAAAAAATCAGGAAAAGTGGAATTCACTTTGATAGTGATTTTTAGAATCAAATTTGCATAAACGTGTAGGAAGCAACTACGGTTAACCTTGTCTGGGTCATAGCTAAAGTAATGAATGAAATTTCGTTGAGATTTTATAGCTAAGATGTGTATTATGCATTCTTGCTGTTTTCATCAAAACTTTTTTGTAAAACCTTTAAAATCATTTTCAGTCCATGCCCGTCACCCCCAAGAAAATAATGATGAAATATTTTGCTTAGTTTCATAAGGAAGTACGGGTATGGATCAAAATTTGATTGAGACTTATCTACAAATCAATATTTGAAATATCACTACGGGTCACTCCTAACTTGACTTCAACAGTAAAAGTCAAACCATTTCGCGAGCCACAAAAGGGCATTGTTCGCCCTCCTTTTTAAAATAGAAGTGTTGCTGCAAAATCTCATCAGACTTACTACCTTAGTGGTCTTATTAGGATGATAACTCTTATATAGATATGTACATTGAAACCTCCTCTATGTAATAGAGAAAACTGTTTCTTGATATCTTTTTGCATTGGAGAGCTATTCAAGGATTATGAACCTTGAGAAACCGTACTATATTTAGCATGGTGGATCTGAAAGGGTTAGTTAGAATATTTTTCTGGTCGGATACATCTGCGAACACAGTTTGCGCTTTATAAGTAGATAAAGTCACTAGACAAAATTCTTTATTTTAAAGTTCATCAATATGAAAACGAATTCAGCAGAAAATAAGATTTCGTTTGTCATCCATTTTTTAACGTACTCTGGGCTGATATATATTTATATGGAACGATTATCTTTTGATTTTCTGTTCAAGGCGAACTTCGAAGTAGTTCGAACAAATATTTCCATCTAATTTTATATTTAATGCGCTTTTCATCTTTTCCTTTTCTTCAGTCAATAATATGATTTCTTTTTCTTTACTTATCCACGTTATCATTTAACTATCCCACCCGAATTTCTTTTATGAATTTAACTTTTTCAAACTGGAAGCTCACTTTGAACAAGATAGTCAATCTTGTTGAAAATTTTGATTCAAAGATAAAGGTTTGATGTTGACACATCGATCAATAAAAGTCCTCAAATTCAACTATTATAATCAGTTCTATTCTACTAAAGAGGCAGTACTGATTTTCATGCTTTTTTCTGTTTAGTATGCTTACATGTAAAAACAATAATTTTTTATCTATGGACTTAATATTCTTGTAAAGCAAAATATTCTATTTTTTTTCTTTACAAGTCATGTTTCTAGAAACGTTTTAAGGTTTTCGAAAATACAGAAGAAGAAAGGTTCATTCATAATATGCTATCCCTTATACGTGTGTATACATAGTTTCTAATTAAATGTTCATTCGTGGTGTTTTAAAATCTATACTATTGTCCCTACACGAGTGTTCGGAAATGAAACACTAGTTTCAAGAAATATAATAGCGCAACACATATGAAAAAATAACACGGAACAAATTTCTACTTGTTGTGGGATGCGACCGCCGAGCCAAAAGAGTTTAGGGCAATGGTCGACTTCACAGATGTTTTGCGATCATTAGCGACCTTCATACTGCACTCAACTAGTTTTTTAAGCACGAAACACATGTCTGATTGCTAATGCTGAGCTAGCTATGTATTGAAAACTCAATTATTTGAAAATGTTGAAAACTTACACCGATTACAAAAACAAAAAAAAACGAGTGGCTGAGCTAACTATTATGTGAATATCATCTTTGTTTTTGGTTTAATTTAGTCTATAGATATATTTTTAGATAAATTTTGAGGAATAAGCTGATGATAATAAAAGAATGAATAATAACCGCTTAGTAATAGTTCTATAGGAATAAATCAGGCAAAATCAGGAGAAAATCAGGATTTTCGATCAAAATCAGGAAAATCAGGACACTTTTAAAAAATCAGGAAAAAATCAGGACAGTAATACGGTTGCGAGGCCTGATAGTTGAATATAGCGAACAGAATAGTAGTGAGATGAATAAATACAAATATGATAGCTAGAAATGATAAAAAATTTGAGCGATACGAATAATTTTGGTTTGAATCCTAAATTTTACGCCAGCAAACTGACTTTTACGATTGAAATTATCGGCTATGTTTTATTCTTTGGTTCATAATTTTTCGAGCTCGGTCCTTTTTGAACAAAAACCTTACCAACCAAACAGTAGCTGATCAAAATTTATCAACAAAGTGTCCTTTTAATAAAATATTATCGACAAAAATGTCTCAACGAATAATATTACTACTTTGAAAATGTAGTGTCATCTGTGAAAGTGGAAAAGAATAATTATGTTGTACAAGTGTTGTTATTGTACGCATCATCATGATATATTATCTTTTACTGATTTCTTCTGCACATGAACGAGAAGATTTCTGCATCAATCAATAAGTCATTCTATTGCTTTTTAATTTTTTTTATTTAAAACTGAATGTGTGACACATTTCTTGTGGCATAAGTTCATTTGTCTCCTGCTTCTTTTTTCTTCAACATCACAGAAACAATAACTAGAAACCTTCTCGAAAAGTTTTCGTGTATTCTTGATAGCGTTCGTCGATATCGGCATCTTTCAATCCGAATTCATCGAGAGAATAAGTGTGACTACCTTGTTTTCCTTGAGCATTGTCACGCAACCATTGGCGCATGGCTTCTTCAAATTCATCAGACCATTGTAAAATATTGAAATGTTCATAAATGCGCCGAACAGTTTCAATAGGATTTTCGACTAAATCAACGTACTGAATATCAAACACGTTTTGAGGTGGAGGCTGCCGAGTACGAAATTTCATCAAACGTCGAATACACATGCCAAGAAAATGAAGATTATTTTTGGCTACTATTTGTAAACTTGTTAATCATCTTTGTCAAAATAGATGTTGGTTCAAGCAAGTACTAGGCGACAACCTGAAGGAAATACCTCTTGGAGTCGTCGATGGGACATAATAAGTGATGCATGTGGATAATATTTTAACAAAGTATCAATCCAAAGTATATGCGCTGGGGACTTGAGCACCCAATGTGAACGAGATGGATCAACATCATGCAACATTTGTAAGACTGTTGAATGATAGTCATAGGCAAAGTCTTTATTGGTCGTACCATCCAGCCATTCGAAGACTTCATCATTTTCAGGAGCTAGAAGGCCGAATGCATAGCCCAATCCAGCTTCCATCTGAAGTAAAATATCTTCTTCAATAGCAAATTCAGCATGGGATGCCGAGCTATTAGTTCTTTCAGGATCGGTACAACCAGCGACTTCAAGGGTTTCTTTTCCAAAGATTTGATTAGCTTGCTCGCGACGTTTATGCTCTTCAACATTCGAACGCAAAACTGGTGGAATAGGTTCTACTGACGTATAGGTAACAAGTGGTGCTCGACCGTTGGGATCGCATGCCAGCAAATTATAGAGTAAAGTTGTACCTGTACGTAGCATGCCGCAAATGATAATTATCGGTGTGTCCGATATTCTTGTCGATGTTATAGCTGATGACATCTTAGAAGCCAAATAGTTGAGCACTTGTTTGACGTTGTTATGTCTACGTACCAGATTTGCACATACAATATGTTTTCCTCCCGGAGTTAGTCTATCATTAGCGAATATACGAGAGCGAAGGTATTGTTGTGCTTTAAGAATATCACTATGAAAGCTAAATTGAATCTTGGCTTTATCACTGAGATCTTGTTCAGATAGGTCGATATCATCTAGTAACAAGGTTTCACTTTTGACTTTCTGAATGTCACCATCATTTACTTTGTCTGTCATAAGTGAATCACTGTAGAAAATGATGCTGCACTAATTTGTTGATTTTCCAAAATAAAAAAGTAAAATCAGCACCATATAGATAATATAAAATGCTAACATAGTATTTGTCTCAGGAAAAAAAGCAAAACTCTCATGACTTTTGAGATTATGCGGACTACAAACATGTCGTTTTTTTCTCTCTTGAACAACCTAATGTAAGGTGATGAAAAAAAATTCATTTACCAAGATCTCATGAGTTTCGAATCTATACAATTAAGTAAATATCGTAGCTTTTTTCGTTTACTTAAAGGTATCGATTTTGTATGAGCAATAACATTCTCTCTCACCCGCTAGGTTTTAAAAACTCATTTCACTACACTAGGTTCGATTTCATGAGCACATTGTGGAGAAGTTTTCAGAATAGTATGAAGAATGGCGGTGATATAAGCTCAAAGAGGGCGTGATTCATGGCAGTCGATGAGCGTTAGAGAGAAAATATCGCCAACTAACGTGAAAAATCTTGTGAATATTCATCTTAGGGAAAAGAGTTCGTTGATAGTGAGATTGATGTTACTTAGTTTATTTTTGCTGAGAAAAGTGATAATGCTCACCATGCAGTTCTTTTATCATTTTTATATCATTGTCAACAAAAAATCTGGTGGTCAACTATAGTTATCTTTTGAAAACAAAACATTCTGTTTCTTGCTTGCCTGTTGAGATGGCGTAGATTAGTGTAATATCTTCGCTCATCATCGTATCTAGGTGAAAAAAGAAATATAAAACGAGGAGTTTATTAGTATACAACCATATGTTATCGATACTGAGTGTAAGTATCGTTCGATAAAAAAGGTGCAAGTGCGATGAAAATACTTGCATTCATACCTACACCCAGATAGCATGTCGAACATCTATGCCGAGAGTAATGATAACGTGACTCTTCCAGTTTGTCATTGTTCGTCATAATAAAATACACACTGAATTCATAACGAAATAAACCATCATCTCTTTCCCTTATTTTCATTACAAAATGCTTCGATCATGTCAAAAGAAATAAATGAAATGATTATGCTATTATATGATCTCACTATTGATACAGATTCTTTTAAAATCATCTAAAAATCTGTATTTATTTCAGAAACAGCAACAGTTGTTTTAAGCATAAATTTTCTATCGGTAATATTCAGCGTACTATTCGATTGTTCATTTTTTTAAGTTAAATAGACTTGAACTTCTATTTGTTCAATTACTTATAAATATTTATATGTCCGATAACTTGCGAATAGACATGATAACGAAAATTAAAACCAGTTTTTCGACATTATCAACAACACTTACAAAAAAAAACATAGACATCTGCACACGATCTATAATATCTTTTTATTTAATTAAATGTCATTTTGATTAAATGAAAGTAAACTATTTATTTTGTGAACTATATATAATTTTACTTCAAGTTATTAAAATTTCGTCTTCCAATCAACATTCTGTACGTTTCAAGTGTCTGGGTTTTTTTAACTTGATTGTTTTGGTTGTTATTCTTTTTTCTATTGTTCTTTGCGTCAGTTACCTACAATAAAGCCATGTGTGACAGAAAGGAAAAAATGTTTATTTCCAAGTTGTGTCGACATTTTCTTTCCTGACGTCATTTTTTCCAAGTAATCAAACGTATCAATGGCGTCTCAGACTCGACCATGCGCTATTAAAAAATGTGAAGTTTTTTCGTGTGCTGTATGTCATTGTTGTAAAAATGATCTATGTCTCGATCATTTAAAAGAACACAAAGACCAACTTAATGCCCGATTAATTCCACTTGCCAATCAGATCAATACATTTTTGGACGGTCTTGAACATTTCAATCCGACTTCATCGTCTAGTTTTACAGCACTTGAAAAATGGCGCATTTCAGCTCATGATACTGTGGATCGATTCTACGAACGTATGCGTCATGAATTATTTGAACAAAAAAAGAATAAACCATTGGAAAAACTTCATGCAACACGAGGTATGTTAGATCAACTTATTCGAAAACAAGGAGCCACTCGTGAAAATATTGATTCATTGACTAATGATATTCGATCAATTGAACAAGAAATCAATGCTCTTCAAAATATTCAAATTAATTTGCGTCCATTAGTTATTGATGATAATTTAATTATTGCATCGACTTCTGGAAACAGGTAAATGTCAGAATTTTCTTTCAATTATGCACAGAAATTTCCTTATAAAGAGAAAATTTTGTAAATACAAATCAAATTTATGTAAATCAGTATTATGTGTTTTATTGATACGGAAAAAGTAGAGCTGCACTAATACCAGAATACATATACTGTGAAAAATGTATAGTAACGCTTCACTAGTGATCAGACTATTCTCTATAAGACCTTGCAATTTATGTTTGATTACAAACGTTTCTAAATAATTTAAAAAATTCATGCTGATCTAAGAAAATATTATGTATAGCTTAGATTTGAAATTACTCTTAAAAATGACTTTGTATAGATATTTATATATGATGATTTTGTAAGTTATGAGAATACTATATTCATTTCTTAGTACATCTTGCAATTATAATATGTTTTTAAATCTAAACTATGAAATAAAAACGAAATTCAAATTTCTTAAGAACACAACAACGTACTGAAAATAATGAATCACGACAAACAGCTTCAATTAGTCAAAATGATTTAGAAGCACTTCAATGCAAAAGTGCGTTTCAAATTTTTGTTCAGGTAATTAAGTATTGTTTTATATAATAATTACCATCCATCTTTTATTTATATATTATATGATGTTTATTTATAGTCGGTTACTGGACAAACAATCTTTGTAACAGTAAAATATTTTATGTACGAATGTTCATAATCATTGATTTAAGAAAATTTTTAGGTTAAATCATCTGACACCATTTTGGAAATAAAGCGTAAAATTCAGCAGAGACTAAGCATTCCAGCAGATCAACAATATCTCTCATGGATGGGCAAGCCTCTGAACGGTAATCATGGTTGCATTTATATATTCTTTACCTTTTTCTTTTTATAATAGACAATTACTGTCTTGCTACTTATGATATTCAGACACAATCTACTATCAACTTATCATTGCGACTAAAGCCGTGATAAGAAAACTATTCTATATCTTAATTATTGGTAATCAGCTAATGATTACAACTTACACATATATTAAAGAGAATGTCACACATTTCAAAATGACTTTCAATCATTTATTCTGGATTTTTTTTAATCGAAAACTTGTTTAAATACATTGTGAAAATTATACTTGCTTTTTTTTAGTAGTTTGTTTAGAAAAACTTTATTGCGATAATATAAAGTATTTCCCATGTAACCATTTTTAGGATTAGTGACGCGTTTCCGAGCGTTTGTGCAATATAACGTGACGCGTTAAAACGCGTCCAAAATGCAACATTTTAGGGCGTTCAAACGCGTTTTATTCAATAAACGCATCTACACTGGTTTAAATTCGTGCGTTTAATTTATTCCCAAAAAAAATTCAAAAATAATCATCACCCTATATTGGAATCGAACCGACGCACCATAGCGAGCTACGATATAAGACTCAAATCCTGTCAGCGACCGAATGGTAATTTTTCAGCGACAACTTGAACCGAGATTTGAACACGCGACCAACTGATTGCGAACCAAGCACAACTAGCTCTGAGCCATCCATGCTTCGAAAGTGTTTCTATATCATTGAACCAAATGAATAATTCTTTTTTCTCTCTTTAATATAAGGTTTCACAATGGAGATATTGTGATTTATCTTTACTTCGTGAAATAATTATAAATAAAATATTTATATTTATAATATCCATAAAATAGAAAATTTACATTTATGAAATAAAAATAAAGATTTTAAGATTTCAATTTTAAAAAATGAAGATTTTTTATTTATTTTTATTTTGTAAATATTATAAATATGAATATTTTATTTATGATTTATCTGTATTTCATAAAATAATCATATATAAAATATTTAAATTTATAATATTTATTAAATAAAATATTTACATTTTCAAAATAAAATCCTTATCTTCATAAAATAAAGAAGATTAAGTTTCTTTATTTTTTTACACAATAGAGAAATTAAAGAATGAAAATAGTTTATTTAAAGTTAGACAATTATACAATTTAAAATGAAGATAATACAGTTTTCTCTGAAATATATGGAAAAAATAAAATCTTAGATTTTTACGTAAAAAGAAATCATCAAATTTTTATTTTCTAAAAATCAAAGACTCATTTTTTTTACTTTATAAAACCAAATAAAAGGCCATTTATTATTATATCATTAAATATAAACAAAACTATTTGTATAATATTATTTTTTTAAATGTAGAAAACTTATAATTTGAATAATATTTTTAATTTTTAATAATTCAAACATCGTTATATATATATTGACAATTCAACACGCATCAACTTATTTCAAACAAAAATAAAAGGATATTTTTTGTCATCTATTCAACAAAAAATAGTAAATTTTAATTTAAAAAGATCGGCTTGTTTTTTGCATTCCTTTTTTTCCAAATAATGCCAATAAATATTCAATATATTTTGACTAACACAAATTAGAAATAATAAACAAAAAGCATTTTTAGCGGCTGGTAAATAGCTTCTTTTAATTGTTGAGTATATTTCTAAACGCATGAAAAGGTCTGGAGCAGACCAACGCGTTTCGAACGAAAATAAAAACGCATGTGTACGCGTTTATCTCAGTTTTTGCTATCAAGCTCCTAATGCTCTTTAAATGCGTTCAAACCGAACCCGTTTCTATTATTCTTTAATACGAAAACGCGTCGAAACGCCGGCATTTTCAATAAAAACGCGTCAGAACGCCAATATTTTCAACAGAAACGCCTCTAGCCGCGTCCATTGTGCGTTTCGTGGTTACATGGGTTTCAGAAAGATTTTCCTTGAAAAAAAAACGTTAACGTGATCTCTGTAGGATTAAAATATGTAGCATGATGCAACATCTCTTACTGATCATAGAAAGATTGTTTTATTCTTTCTACTTTGTGTTACATTTATTCCCCATTCTTTTACCTAATCATCCAGAAATGCAATAAGAAAGTAGTTTATATTTTAGAACGAGAGGTTATTGATATATAGTCTTTAATCGTATGTCAGCAATGTCTGTTACGCATGGACGGAGAAGTGTTAACAGTAGTAGTAAGATACGTTATCGTTTCCGGTGTGAGGTGAGGAAGAGAAAATATTAAAAAAATAAAATTAACAAAAAATTTATTGTTTTGTATCTGTGAAGAGTGTGTAATTGATTACCATTGAGAATTGAGACTGAATTAATCAGTCTACCATCCTCCTTGTTAGCAAGTTTAAATAATATCCAGTATTCCACTCGGAGTCTTACTTGCAATAGCTATTTCACAATCCACTTGTAGTTTTATTATATAATTTGGTTATTCTTATATCAATCTTCAATTTTGACACATGCTTTCACATATTTCATGATTCCCTGTTCTACGAGCATCCTTCTGCAGCCAGGACACTTATATTGATTGTTTCTATATTTTTTATTAACACTTTTGCAACTTTACGATATACAAATTGGTGAACTGTTGCCAATTATTTTTTCTTGCACTCAGCTGCTTGCCGTTTATACTCGTATAGAATTGGGAGGAGTGTTCCTAAGGCATCTTGCAGGATTTGAAGTAAAAGAGAAACGATGCTAAGATGTAGGTCATGTTTGTAATGATGTGTTGATCCTGTCTGTCTTGCTTGTCAGAAAGGTAGCAATTTTCACTCTATATATGTCAATGTCACTTCTAGATCGTGATTCACATAAATAGTTCTTTTAAAGTGAGTCAAAAATTTGTGATGCTACCAGCAAATAGTGTTTAAATTCTGAGAAAGCAAAGAATATTTGTGCTACAGAGTCGTCTAAACTGTTAACGCAAATAGCTCTTACCTCTATAGTACGTTTCCTGAAAGCCTTGGTTTTTCTCGTTTTCAAATAATATAAAATGGATCCACATTGTATATTCTCAATCAATTTGTTAAACTGCATAGAATGATACATTACTCAAAAACATTACTCGAAAAAATGAAGATAAGGGTTCTAGCTGAGGTGTTACTCTGAGACATGTTTTTGTGAGTCATATCCAATCATTGTTAAAAAAGAAGATTCGTTTCTGGGAAAGAAATTCACATAAGCAGGTGCTATGCAAAGAATGCACAGTGGGCGGAGATGGCTAACACCGATCCCTCACAAAAGCATGAGATTTCAACTCCATAATCATATTTCCATTTATTCTAAGGAACATTATAGTACATCATAAAAGTTAATAACTTTGGGTTGGCCCGGTGAACGCTCTCATTGTTTGCCTGGTGTATGGTAGCTAGCAGCTGAGGCTCACAATAATAATCCTTGTTACTTTTTGAAATAGGTGTCTTGAAAAGATGTCTTGTTTAAAACTAACTTGTCATCTATTCATTTGCTCTTGTTTTCTATCAGTCGAATAAAATATATTAGAGGTCAGTTTTGTTAAATGAACGCTATCATAAAAATGTAAGAAATCAAAAATCTTGAAACATATTATTTCTTCCATTTTCTTTATTATTATTGGAATGACCAAACTATTGTGCACAAATGGCAGGAGAATCTTCTGAATCTGTCCATACTATTGATATATTAGAGAAACCAGCACTCTATTTTTGCAGTTATTTCATCAATAGTTCTTCTGGAACCGTCGCAGGCGAGCATATAGTTAAATAACTCACATGTTTTCCTTGCAGAATGTAACGTATCAGTCATGTACTTCATGGTTTGGGAACTCTTTCTGAAAGGAAAACCTAAACAATTTTGACTAATGCAACAATCTTGCATAGTTCAAACACTTTCTTTTATTTCAATGATGATACATGAAAAATATTACTGCATATTTGGTAGCACTGTAGCTACGCGAGATATCATTGGACGACGTGTTGCAGTGAGACTAGGAGCAATAGCGTTTGTTTGTGATCTTTGGAATAAAATACATATTTTTAACTTTGATCGCAACTCCGGCAGTGACATGACGTTTACGAAAGGAATACACATTATAATATGCGGCATGAAATAAAGGCTAGAACCATAGTAATCAAGAGCATTGTAACCTAATGGTATGCCGGATACATATAAAACATATAGAATCATGATTGGAAAATAAAAGACTAAATAGATACTTGATATTGTCAATAGTTGAACTGTCATTTTACGGTAATTACGCCATTGTATTGGTTGGTGTAAACGGCATTTTTGCCATATGACACGTATAAGGAGAAGAATACTAAAGATAGCAATAATAAAAGTGGGTATAACATTATTAACTATGCCATCAAATATACCAATCGTCGGGATGTATACAGCACAGTATGAATAACCACATCGTATTATATTGTAATCTAATGGGTCTGAACAAGATATTATGAGAAATATATAGCCATAAAATCCAAGAGCATATAGAGTGAATATAATCAGAGGAATATAATGAAAGCAGATACGCTTTCTAGTTGTTAATAGCCAGCTATCATGAAAAATAAGAATATGTCGTTCGATTGATGCCCAAGCAACTAGAATCAATATTGTAACAAATCCAGCAACATCAATATATACCCAAATAAAGCAAAATACAGGTGTTGAAATTAAAGTAACACCATTCCGATAATAATAAGCAAGCCAAACTACATCAGTCAATTGATAGAAAAGACCAATAAAGAGAATTACAATAATGACATGATTATTGAGACTACGACGAAGAACTCTATCAAAAAAAAGATGATAGAGAACGAAGATAGAAAAAATTAGTGATGGTATTAGAAAAGGAAAATAAAGCCAAAAGCGAAGTG